TATTTATTTTGAGTTGAGTTTTCATTCTGCAATACAGTCTGAACAAGAATACCAAAACGGTTTGGGGTCAGTAAAGGATGCAATAAATGGATAAAAAGTAACTTTTTTATGAATTAAAAGAACAACATTGATTTGAAATAGAATTGTTTGTAACATTGTAAAAGTCTTTACTTTCAATCAATTTATTGATGCTAAATCTTGTCTGTGTCTGCAGCGGCAGTAGGAACTATGCTTGGTTCATTCTTCACATCTGTAGATGTGTGGCTAACTTCACCACATCTCTCTTTTATGAAGTGATGCTTGGGGTGCTGAATATGAAATGATCAATTATGCTCCATTTCTACAGAAGAGTGTTGTTATGCCTGTGCACACAGTCAAGGGAGTTCTGCCATTCTCAGATGTGAGTTTCGCAGGAAGTCGTGTTCTGGAAAAACAGCTCAGATGGTTTATACTGGAGTGCCTCTCTATCCCGGCTGTAATACAGCTGATGAGTATCTATCCGTTTCAGAATTTAGTATTAATTATCTGTAATGACTGAGCTTGGAGTAATGTGTGTGTCTACCGTTATACTTTATCTAGCCACCTTGCTGTCACCTCAGGTTTTTTTTAATATAGTACTTTATAATTTCTCTAAGTGATAATTTGTCAACATTTTTTTTGTGTAAGGCCATGAAGTTTTTTTTTTTTTTTTTTAATGAATAATGAAAATAATCATTATGCATTCTATGTGGGCTCCCTCTTCTTCTTTCTAAAGCCACAGGAAACAGAAGCCTTGGAGGATGAGAGGAGATTACTAGGGGTTTTGTGTGCTTTTTTGTGGGAGGTTGACCTTTAAGGCTGGGCAGTGTAATGATCTCCTACACCTTGTCTGTGTTTCCGGTTGCAGTAGAGATTATAATTGAGGTGTAGATATAAAAGGAAGATCATTAAAACTGCTATCGCTCTTTCTCACCCTCACCTTTGGTTCCCTCTCCATTGTTTTTCTTTCTGCCTACCTTCCTACTGTCCTGAGACCTTTGGCTGAAAACAGCTCTTTTATTTGGCAGTGGAAAACTGGGCTACCTCAGACTGGGCTACCCTTTAACCTCCCAGTCATACAATCTTAAGCCTCAGTAAAAATTAAAACACCACAACAAATACTGAAAAGTTAGCTCTTCACTAATGTTTTTCTGGCTCAATCGCATGTGACGAAAGGATGAAAAACAAACCTGATGTTGGTTCAGGATTTTAAAAGGAAACCTGGTACCTGCATGTTTTTGGCAGCACTACAATGTGAGTCTTAAGAACATTTTGGTGGATTTTTTTGTTTTAAAAGAGAAAGACCAAATAAGCCATTGGAGTCTAAACATGTGTGCCTTTAAGTTTGACAAGGACAGAGCAAAGAGCAAGGACAGAGCAAAGAGCAAAGTTAACTTCCAACCCAATCCAGTTTTTTTTATATTTGCCATAAATATTCAGTGCACTAAGCACACATTTGGAAGAATGTGCTGTTTCCATTCAATTAAAACATACAGTAACCAATGAAGTAGTATAAAAGTATATTCCAAATAATATATGAATGCAGCATATATGAATGTACGCGATCACAAGATTTGAAAGCTACTTCAATCATATGCTGTCAGAAGACAAATCAAAATTCATTTGCTAACTTTTTGTCATGAGATAATATTTGCATGAAATTGGACAAAAGGCCTGCCACGATGTTTACAGACAGAAATGGAAAACCACAGAGCCAACAGATTCGGGAAAACTCGATGAAAAAGAGAATTTTGATTACCCATGAGAACATCCTACCAAAGTCTGGTGTATCTGACACACTTTTAGGGAAGACAAACAAGAACAATGATATGAAAATATAAACAAATACTATACTTTCCATCATTCAGTGGACTCCTTAAATATTTCATGTTTATTTATATATACATACTTTTTTGGTAGGAAGCCATGCAATCAACAAAATACCATGCAGTGAGCCAATGATTCAAGGCCCTATCCATATGCACAGCGCTTTGGCTTGAGTATGAGTTTGTGTGTCAAGTATCGCAGGAATAGATGCCGACGCTCTTTGATGTTGGATGTTTGAAACGCCACTGCTGTCCAGATTCCCCCTTATATACTCATCCAGCCCAGTACAGCGAAACCCCTCAGATCACAGCATAAAAGCTCAAACCTACAAAAAACATTTTTTTATCCCTCTTTTTGGATTTCCACTCATCCTTATCCATCTACACACTCAGTCCTCTCTCTCAATCTTGACTTTTTGTTGCTGCTTTCAAAGGTGGTCACAGCTATTCCCAATCGCAAAATCCCCATTAAGCTTCAAAGCTCCGTTTACTCCTCTTCAACATGTGCATATATGTGTACATGTGTGTGACAGAGCGTTTTACTGGAAGGTGTTCAGCTCATAAGCACGTAACTAGCTAAGCAAACACACACACACACACACACACACACACACACACTGCTTAAAAGTGAACATTACCTTTAGCAATCATGTACTTACTGATTAATAGGTCAATTTAAGATTTAATTTTAACTCAATTTCATAGCAATGATGTTGTCTTAAAGGGATAGTTCATACAAAAAAGAATGTGCTGTCTGACTTTCATTTTTCTGTGGTACACTAAAAAAATATTTTGTAAAATGTCCCAGTGATTCTTACAATTGAAGTCAATGGTCACTAAAACTGTTACCAAAACTCTTCAAAATATTGTGTGTGTGTGTGTGTAAGAGAGAGAAAGAAAGTCAAACAAGTTTGGAGGGGGTGGGTAAATAATGACAGTTATTCAGTTATAAGTGTTACCTTAATTTTTTTTGTGAAATGGATGTGAATGTTTGTCTGTCATTTCTGCACAACTACCGCCACCAAACAAGTACTGTGTGCCATTGGTTTATCAAACCAATGGCACACAGGTTTGCACAAGAGCAAAGGTTTGATAGAGTCTCTTTTTTTCAGAGGAATCAGCCTATAAATGGCTTACTTACAGTTGTCTCTGCATATTAAGCTGGAATAGAAGAAAAATGACACAGCTCCGATTCGTGTGAGCGTGCAGTATGTGCGATTCAGGCTGTATACTTCTGATGTGATTCTTTAGGAAACAGCTGTTCAGTGTGTAAGACCATTACTCATACTCGCAATGTGACTGTACCTTCCCTAAAACAAATCTCTCCCTTTCTATTTCTCTCCAAAGGCTTTTTCCATCTTATTGTGCCTGTTCCTCCTACTCTCATCTCTCAATTTCCCTCTTCCTCCCACTTTTCTCCCTGCTCTCTTTCTCTGCTGAGATCTCGGCTCTTTTGATATGAATGATAAATGCATTCTTTAACGATTTTTCTCTCTGATCGTTCTGTGACTGCAACAATTCTCATTAATGATTAATTTCAAAGTCTTCTATACACAAAACACACACATAGATCACAGCACTCCAACCACACACAAACAATTGCATATGCAACTTTACTTAGGAGCCAATTAAATGAATGCAGCACATAAGCCAATTAAATTCATGAAGCATCAGCTGAAGATCAAGTCCAATACTACAAAGACTGATGGAAATGAAGATGAGAGGCAGAGACAAATTTCCAAGTAATGATTGTCTCATTTAAGACTAACTTATGTTTTCATGACAGAATGTTTTTTTTTTCAGCAGTGAATGAATGAGAGTTGAACTGAACATGTCAAGAAGTCATTGAATAATGGTACTTAGTTAATGAACCAATCAATTATCAAGCAGGCTTAGTTAAAAAAAAAAGTGTTCTTCCATGATCACAAAAATGCTGAAGTATATTCCAAGCAATATTTCACATAGCATGGATGTACGTGATTTACAAGATTTGAATGCTACTTTGAATGCTATGGCATCAGAAGACTTGGAATATAAGACAAAGACTACTATTATTGTACTTTTAGTCAAATTAAAAATAATAATAATTATTATAATGCAATGTCTAATTCATATAGTATAATAATGTAAAATTCATTGTTGTTCCTTGCATGAGTACTGTAATTTTTAGTTAGCTTGACAGCCCATTTTCTTTACCAATTTAGTATTGTATTTGAAAAGTGCAACATGAACATTCTTCAAACGTTCTCCTTTTGAGTTCCATTGAAGTATGTAAGCCACAATGACCTGAAACAACATGAGGGTGAGTAAATGACCACGTAAGCACTCCGGAGTAGGCATGGTTTAGCCTGTAGCAGAGCGATAAAATATGAGTGGTATGTGGAAAACCTGAAGTGGAGCTGGAATGGAGTGATTAGAGAGCACTTTAAGCGGGAGGGGGGATTGCTGTTGCTCTGCTCGTCTCACACACACGGGGAAATAATGACAGAATTTTCATTTCTGGGGAAACTAACCCTTTAAGCTCAAGTGATCCTACTGATCTATTTCATGTGAGTGTTATTCTACAGTTCATTTCTCTCGGCACAGATAAGCACTTCAAGCACAGATAAGGCTGCCTAACTTTCCATGAGCCTGTGTTATTGTTATAAACTGCAGTCTAATCTTATTCTATCTCCAAAGTTCACTGAATTCGGTCATCTGTTCATAAAGTGTCTCCAGATAGCAGTGAAAGGCAGATGATGGATGAAAGAGATGATTAGATGCAAAGATGGAAACATGCCAGGAAGAACAGAACAAGCAAGAAAAAGTAAAAACTGAGATTGAGACTGAGATGTGAGGCATATCAGAAGACCATCTGGCTTTGATTTAATGCTTCCTGAATGGCCTCTCTTCAAAGATTCACTTCACCAAAAGCTTCCCTTCTCTTTCCCTTTATCTTGCTATTCCTCTTTCTGTCCTGCACTCATCTCGTTGTCCTTGCAATCATGTTTCAACCATAGCTGCATCTCTGAAAATATGCCTGCAAACAAACAAGTCACATCAAAACCAAGTAATGAATGGCTCAAAGCGAGAAATGGCACAGACAGATGTGGCTTCAGCACAGAAACCTTCTCAAGTATATAAGACTGCTACTTCAGCAAATTCCTTCTCTTTTCCTCAGTCTTTCACGATGCCATCTTCATGCTCTCCATATCTTCTCTCCTAGAGAAGAGACACATTTTTTTTCTTCAAAATTGCACTTTTGTGGGTACATCTAAAAAAAGACTTCCGCAATTGTCATTTATACAGAAAAAGGGTTAAAGTATATATATATATTTTTGCATTTCCATTTGATGCTGCCAACTATGGAAGCCCACGTCCACCTCAGAGGGAAAAAAAAGTAATTGTGAGTTAATTTCTAGCAATTGCTACTTTATTTAATGTGATTGTATCTTTATTTCATGCAACTGCTTCTTTAAACTGACAGTTCACCCATAAATGAAAATTATGTCAACATTTACTCAAGACTTTCTTTTTTATCTCTGGAATATAAAAAGATATTTTGAGAAATGTCTCAGTGCTTTTTTGTCCAAGCAATTGTACTCAATGATTATCTAAACTAGTTACCAATATTCTTTATAATATCTTCTTTCAAAATACCTTCAACAACAAAAAAATATATATTTTTATAACAATATGAGATCGAGTAAATTATGAAAGATTTTTATGGTTTTGATTAACTATCCATTTAACTCTTGATTTTTTTTCAGTAACACTAATTATTCTATACCATACTATATGTTATATACTATATGTGTTCTAGTACACTGTTCCACAGATATCACAAACTAATGTCAAATAATTTAGAATAAATTTGCATGCTATTGCCACTCATTCAGCATGCTTAATGAACAATGGGATAACCTACAGTATATATATTTCAACACTGCAAAATAAAAATAAATCTTTTTTTTTTTTTTTGAGCAGTGTGCAGTGACCGTTAAAGCTCTGGGCTTGCTGCATTGCGTGGAGGTGGTTTTCAGCATTGGCAATCGACAGGTCTTTCTCTTTCTTTTCCAAATGCGAAAAACACTGCAACCAGTGCCTCTTCTTAAAAAGACATGCTTGTTGTTGACAGTTGCTATGGACATTACCAACTCACACATCATTTACAGTTACCATCTCTCCCACTGTGTCGCTCTTTTGCCTGTTCTGCCACCTCATGCACCCCCCCACCCCTTTCACTTCTCTTTCTTATGTCCATTCACTCACCACTTCATGTGCACAAACTACATTTGTTCCAACAGTTTTCAGGTCAGTGTGATCTGGTGTTCAGACATCTCGAGTGTTAGGATAGATTCCACTGGTGAAATACTGCAGGCAGAATAATTAATTCTGGCTAATTGGATGGCGTCTGATCGGCTGATGAAACTAGTAGTGAGTAGTGTCAAATTTTTTATGACAAAAATGACTTATGGGGATCTGAAATATGGCCATTTTGGGCACCAAAAGACCAGTACCACTGAGTCAGCCACATAAAAAAATAAATAAATTAATAAATAAATAAAAAATATACATAAAATACAAACACAAAGACAAACTGATTACATACAATTGTACAAACTGTGTCTTAGGAAACATCCAAAGAAGCCAGAATGACATGATGATGAGCACTTAATAGACAGCCGACTGAGAGTTTAGGCTATCACGCAAAATGCTTTGGGGCATGTGTTAAACAGGCATGACTGCAATAACAACAACATCAACAGTGACTAATAAATGATCTGAGTCACCAAGCCCTTGTTTTAAATAATATCAGCACACTGACAGCAACTTAAAGACGCCCAAATCTCGTTCCACATGGCTGATCACTACATATCATTTAGTGATTTCCTTCAGGCCTGATAATTAGTCAACAGTCTTTCAAAAAAGACCCTTTCCACTATAATATCTGCATGCGCTTGACTACTGTCGGTTGAGACAGTCTCAGATCTCTATCAAAAGGTGCCTTTATGTCTTAGGAACCTCTGATCCCTTCAGCTTCTGTGGATTTTTGAAACAGCAACACTGTCAAAGGGCTCGTCTGACAGACGTTTTTAGAAGTCAGGGAGCCTCAAAGCCTAAATGTGTTCTCAGTTGACACAGGTAAACATAAACCACTAAATTCAACACAAAATATATAAGATAAAGCAAAACATTTGGGTGAAAATTCTCTTCCAACATTTCAACGTATGGCAGCCGTACCAAGGAGGTCTATAATTCCTGGAGAAAGCTAGCCTATACATTAGCATTATCATCCAGACACAGTTACCTTTGAATGGATGTTTTTACAGCATTAAAACAGGTGATAACTAGCCAACCTTGCACGTGATGCTCAGAAGTGCCATTAAAGCAGCCAATTCAGTTTTACACCTACCTTAACACCACGAACTCTGAACTCAGTGAGCGCTCTGTGCATTTTGGTTGCGGCGGTGGGGAGGTCTTTGCCACTGGCTATGACTTTAACCAGCAGAGAGTCATAGTGAGGGGAGATGATGGCCCCCTGAAATGCAGAAGCACTGTCCAGACGAATACCCATACCCTCTCCACTGCGAAACACCTGTTGAATGATGGGAGAAAAATAGAGATGAAGGAAAAAATCTGGAGAAATATTGCTAGAATGAGGATGAGTGTAAATATAACAACAATACAGTTATAGAGCACAGTGTTGACACACAGGTTGCGGAAAGCATTTTGAATAGGTCAGGCTGAAAATGATGATGAGAAATAATAACAACACCCTTCACCATTTGTCTTGTTTTTGCAAATACATTAAACCACCACTTCAACACCTCTTAGTGAGAACTCTACTCTTTTTGAATAAAAGTGAGCATGACTGCAGTATATTAAGAGAGTTATGTGCCGATATGTAACATCATTAGGCGATGAATAAATACATAACAAGTATACGAGACAGATTAATTTTTTACAAATATGACTTTATTCAGCTGCAGCCGAACACAGCAGAGTGCATAACTGAGTATTTTAGGTTTGCAATCTATTTTTTAGATACAATCATTGGCAATGCATCATAAACTACCGTTCAGCAGTTTGATGTTGGTAGGATTTTTAAGTGTTTTTAAAATGATTCTCTTAATACACCAAGGCTGCATTTATTTGATCAAATATACAATAAAAATATCATTATTGTGAATTTTTTTAACCGTTTCAATTTATCCCGATTCAGTTTATCAAAAACGGATTTTTCAGCAGCAATTATTTCAATCTTCAGTGTCACATGATCCTTCAGAAATAATTTTAATATACTGTTTTGATTCTCAAGAAACTCTTCTTATTATTATTACAGTTGAAAACAGTTGTGCTTCTTAATAATTTTGTGGAAACAGTTTTTTTTTAATTGTCAGAAAAAAGTGCTTTAAATAAAGCAAAACACATAATAATAATAATAATAATAATAATAATATTACTGTTGGAAAAATAAATGACAATTGTATGCTTTAAATAAAAAAAAATCTGTAATATTTCAGTCTATTAAGTATTGTTTTATTTCTAAAAAACACCCCAAACAGTTGGACATTTCTCTTCTTTCACCTGACATGTAGCTTTCATAAACAAACAGGTCTGGTTATAAGGATTTGTTTTCCCACAGATTAAACCCCTCCTCCAGTATATGACACATTTGTTACTGTATCTGTTAGGTGTGTTTGACTTTGGCTGTGCCTTGCCTGACTGATCAACAAGACTTACAACTTACATTAGGGGAAGCGAAACTGTCCGAATAAACATTAAATGCACGTCATCATTGTCGTCAATGAGTCTGAATCATGAAATAGCTATGTTGTTATCAGAGCCCGTGCAGCTGCTTAAGAAACTGCAATGACTGAGCCAGCCAAATCGCTCTCTCAGGACCCTACTGGTCACACTGGCTCTAAAGCATAACCACATGCACGGACATCAACCGCTTCAGCTACAATTAAAGCAACACTTTAATAAAGCTTTAATGTTTTAATTTTTCATTTCATGGGAATGTTCTTCAGTGCAGTGTGTTGTAGAGCGTTGTGAGTCTCGGCATGCCTGCATTATTTATGCAGCAATCTGCCTGCTGAGACACATATTAGTACATAACCAACTACGCCAGTTCTTGCTGAGGTCATTCTCTCATCATATAAAGTACTCTTACCAGACAAACATTTGTGAATAGAGGTGTCTTTATTAAACAGGCATGCACATTTACATTTATATAAAGCTAGCTTTAAATACTATAACCAATCCTAACAGATTTTTTTCAATACAAAAATCTTTAAAAAAATCAGTTTTTTTTTGTTTGTTTGTTTTTTTACAAATGACGACATCCCCAAAAGGAGGTTTTGGAGATGATGTAGTTTCAATTTGAGAAAATTAAACAAAGCATATTAAGATGGGACGTTTAACAACAATTAAACGAAACATTCTTATCAACAAAAATTAACAATCATGAAACACCATTATTCCTGGAAACATTGATGCAGGCGTGTCCAATCCTGCTCCTAGAGGGCCACCATCCTGCCCTGTTTAGCTCCAACACACCTGCCAAGAAGTTTCTAGAGATGCTGACGGTCCTGATTAGCTGGTTCAGGTTTGTTTAATTAGGGTTGGCACTAAACTGCGCAGGATGAAAGCTTTTCAGGGGTGTATTCCAGAAAGCACGGTTAACTTACCGTCAGCTAAACCCTGAACTTTCGGTTGATTAACCCCAAACCTTGCTTACTCGAGGTATGTGGTTCCAAAAACACGTCCGGGAGTAAGTTCATTCAACTCAGAGTATGTTCTTGGTTAAGACATTCTCAACAGAGTGACGAATCGACGAGTCACTACGGAAACGGATGCTAAGAAAAAGTGTGCCATGCTGTTTCTTTCTTCTTCTTTTGTTCAGTGGTCGTTTACATGCTTAGTGCATATCACCACCTAATTGATGGTTGTGCAATCATTTAAATTTTTTTCCTGTTTAACCTTTAATCCTTGAGAATATGAATTATATTGTTTGTTTGATGCTAATTCTATATTTCATATGTATTCATACATATATTTTCATATAAGTCATATCAGATATGTATTTTGATTTATAATTTAGACATTATAGAAAATGCAGATCCATGTGTGAGATGATAATATAAAATGTAATAAATATAAATAATATAATACAATAAATTGAACATAACCTTGTCATAGTGTTTTATAATTTATACAGATATTATATTAGAATAATATATTTCCTTATTTATTACTTATATTAGCGCTTCATCATTAACAAAACATACAAATATATATATATATATATATATATATATACTGTATATATATATATATATATATATATATATATATATATATATATTACATATTGTAATATTGTATAATGTTGTGTGCTATCTGTCACGCCCACTGATCACACGTGTGCTGAAGTGAACTAACCCTGGAACATAACCTGCTCCGGAGCAGGTTATCTTCAGAGAGCAAGTTACTATGGTTACTTACATACGCTGAAAGTAACCTCTGATTTTCGAACCGAAAGCTGAGGTTATCTGCTCGCTTATTCTCAAACATACCCGGATATGTCACATAACTTTTTGGAATACCACCCTGGAGACACCTCACATTAATGCGAAAACTGTCAGAAAACAGCTCTAAAAAGCTATCTGCTTTTTTTTTTTTAAATCCTAGTCAAGGCAAATGTATATTTCACAATCTACCAGACCCAATTTCAGCCATAACTCAATAGCTATATTTACAAGCACCCAAATAATCCATTGGTAATCTGATTATTTCTTGATCTTATTGATTGATGGCTCAATCAGATTGAAAATCCTTCATGTAAATACCTCAATCGATCCAACGGAGTTTGATCTGAATTAAATTTTGATCGGATTGGAAGGGGTGGTGTAGACCTTGGGGGTATTCCAAAAAGCAGGTTATGTGACATACCCGGGTATGTTTGAGGATAAGCGAGCAGATAACCTCAGCTTTCGGTTCGAAAATCAGAGGTTACTTTCAGCGTATGTAAGTAACCATAGTAACTTGCTCTCTGAAGATAACCTGCTCCGGAGCAGGTTATGTTCCAGGGTTAGTTCACTTCAGCGCACGTGTGATCTACTGACGAGCCTTCATATATATATATATTTGTATGATATGTTAATGATGAAGTGCTAATATAAGAAATAAATAAGGTAATATATTATTCTAATATGGTTATTATTTAGTTTATTGGCATATATAACAGTTATCTGTATAAATTATAAAACACTATGACAAGGTAATGTTTAATTTATCGTATTATATATATTTATTTATTACATTTTATATTATCATCTCACACATGGATCTGCATTTTCTATAATGTCTAAATTCTAAATCGAAATACATATCTGATATGATTTAATATATAATTAGCATTAAACAAACAATATAATTCATATTCTCAAGGATTAAAAATTAAACGGAAAAAAATACAAATGATTGCACAACCATCAATTAGGTGCCGATATGCACTAAGCATATAAACGACCATTGAAAAAAAGAAGAAGAAAGAAACAGCATGACGCACTTTTTCTTAACGTCCGTTTCCTTAGTGACTCGTTGATTTCTCGCTCTGTTGAGAATGTCTTGAGTCTTAACCAGGAACATACTCTGAGTTGAATGAACTTACTCCTGGGTGCGTTTTTGGAACCACATACCTCGAGTAAGCAAAGTTTGGGGTTAATCAACCGAAAGTTCAGGGTTTAGCTGACGGTAAGTTAACCGTGCTCTCTGGAATACACCCCTGAAGTAATACAATAAATAGGAGAAACAACAACAACAACATGTAAACACTTGAACACTTGTCTTTGTAGGCCAAAACAGGTAAAAGTTTCTCTACTCATGCTAACGTCACATTCATAAAATGAATGTTGCTGTTGTTATTTTAATTATGGAAGATTTGCTTTCAGCAACAGCTAGACAGAGTTGTGTCTCAGCAAAATGTTAGTGTCTCGAGAACCCAGTGCTCATTGCATGATGATACACTGAAAAATTATGATTAAGTATTATAATCGACTGACAGCCTTATTCTACTCTTAGCACAGACACACACTCATACTCTAACACTGAAATATTTTCTTTGTTCTGTGTGTAGAAAACGAAAGCAAAATCAATAAATGAGAGCAGACAAACAGGGGGTCTATTTCCAATCACACATTAATCAGGGAATCATCAAAGCTCAATGATTAGACTGTATTGATCAGCCATGATCCAGGTACCCAGATGCCCTTAAGCCAATTAGTGATATCTAAAATCCACAGGAGCCGAGAGCCGGTCAGCAAGAGCAGGGAAACTGACCAGAGAATTTTACCTTTCATATGATTTGTATGGAGCCTGTTACATTCATTATTACATTACAGTGACCCAGCAGGTTTCACCTATCTTTCTTTCTTATAGCTCTCCTTCCACCCCTCTAACCGCACAATCCTCCACATCATTAATTTTTTCTGTCATTCATTTTCTGTTGAAACTTTTCTCTTCTCTTTGCTCACAGAGGATGCCAAATCTAATTTCTAGCAGTCTTCTACTGGTTTAATGTCAATTACA